ATGTTCCTGAACAACCTCTCACTCCCCTCTATGCATCCTTAAGTCCTCCCTGACCCTGCAGTCTGGGCCAAAGGCCCCTGTTCTAGGACATTCTTTCCTTTTCTAAAGGGCATGGACTATAGTTAGACCTTCATTAGAGTATTACTGGATGAATATCTCTCTGCCTTGCTAGACTGTAAGCTCCGTGAGGGGTAGGGACCGGGTCCGTTTTTGTTTACCACTGTATTCCTACAGGGTCTGCCACTGTGTCTGGCACTTAGCAGGTGCTCAATAAATGTTTGTTGAAAGAATGAGTGTGAGTTTTTTTTTTTTTTTAATGTCTTCCTCCACACTAAATTGTAAACTTTATAGTTGGGTGTGTTCAGGGCTAGGCACTGGGACTGATGCATAGTAAGGCCTCAGTATTTTTCAGGTGCACTTAGAAATGAACAGATAGGATCCAACTTGATATCCAAGTTGAAAACTCAAAACAACCAAAGTGGAAACATGATGGGCCAGAGATTATCTTAGTCGTTGTGGGAGAAAGAACTTAATGTGAAAGTGATTCTCCTTTATTCCACATCATGGTGGAGGACATGGAGATGGAGCCACATGCTAAGAAAGTGGCAGAGCCAGGGTGATCCTGCTCTAGCACCCCAGTTTTTAACTGCCACACCAGGCTGGGCGATGCTGGGCAAGCTGCTTTCCTTTTCAGAGCCTTGGTTTACTTTAGTCGGTATATGGAGGGGAATTACTGTGTGTTAAACACTTTACAGGCAAGTTTCCAATATTTCCTCAATCTTCTCAACATTCTGAGGTAGTTATTACTACTATTATTCTGTCTTTCCAGATGAGGAAATGGAAGCATAGACAGGATAAGTAACTTGCCCCAGGTTGCACAGCTGGTAGGTAATGGAGCAGGGATTGTTCAAAATTGGCATGTCATGACCCTTTATTGAGATGTGAGGTCAGTTTACTGTATCCAACATGCATTACAAAGGAATGGCAGGAAATGTCAATGTGTCACTTATAGTAAAAGTAACGTTTTATGAGCAAGGGTTTTTTTCCAGTTATGTGTATGTATATATGTATTTACACATGTATGGGTGTGCTGGGTTGTGATGTACTGTGGGACATAGCCAAAATAATTAAAGGCACTGGGCTAAAAGCAGCTCATAGCACAGTCAAGTCTCCCCCTACCCTTGGATTGTCTGAATCGCGGAGTTGAGGCAAGGCAAAGCAGTGCCCCAGATAATGTGGTTTTCATAGCCGCCTTCAAACCCTGTTCTTTTCATAAAGCAGATGAGATGGCTCAGAGTAACCGGGATTCTGAGTATTGGAGTAGGTCTTGAAGCCACCTGACCCCCAGGGAGTCAGCATTATTTTTGTGTTGACTACATAGTTTCTGGGGTCTGCTGAATTTCCTTTTGGGTTTCAACTTGTGACCCACTTTGGGCTGGTGAAGTTCTTTGAAAACAAGTACTGGGGGTGTTAACAGGCCTGGGACAGCAGCGGTGGTGATGACAGTGAAGTGTCTGAAAGTCTCCTCTGCTTTTCTCCTTGGGACTTGTCAGCCTTGTCTTGCTGAGTCACTCTCTTGTCTCTGGCGATTCACCTTTCTGTTCTGTCTTGGCTGGCCGATGGCACCTCTTTCTTCTTACCCCTTTAAATTCCCTGGGCACTGGCTGAGGTCAGCAGCCATCATGTTTTCCTGATGACAAGAGGAATTGTCATGCCCAGGAAACTGGTGTGCAGGTCTGAGATGGCCCCTTTCTGGCCACACAATCTTGACTGATAATGCCAAGTACCATCTGAGAGGATGATTCCAGCCCAAAATGTGCCCTGATACGTGTACATTGAAATCCATGCACTCTTGGCCCATTGCTGCCTGCTGACCTTGAGATACCATGTGGCATATGGGGGCTGGTACCAAAGGATCCGGTTTCCTTCTTGAAAATCAGCAGGCACACTGTAGGTATAGTTTTGTTCTTAATCGCTCATTTTTCTAAGAACCTCTCTTCTCTGTTACTGACTAGTGAGTCAGTATAAATTTTTACTTGATTTCTCTTACTATCTTCATTTAGATTAAAGTCACAACTACCCTGACATATTTTTACTGTGAAAGATAAGTCAGGGATATTTAGTGTCTTTTATTTTTGTTTTTTTAACCTACAGTTTCAAACTCTGTCTTCAAAATGGGGCACTCTTTGGGTCTTAGCAGTTTGGTGTGTAGTTACTGAGAAGAGAGACTTGGTTCCTTGAGCCTCAAATTCTACATTAGTAAAAGAGGAAGGGTGTTGCTCTGAAGGATAGATGTGAAGGTTTTCAAATATACTTGTATCAGTGAGAAGGGCCCACACTGATAGAGAAGTGAGCAATAAATGTTTGTACCTCCTGCTTTCATTCTCTGACTTTGGAGAAAGGGAGAGTGACCTGTTTACTTCTGATACGTGGCTCTGATCTTGGGATTGGCAGAATTGCTTGACCTGATGTTTGGATGTCCCCTGGCTTTCACTTTTCTTGACTATGTAAGAGATAACTCTGAGAGAGGAAGAACTTATTTGGTATTTACTTTTCTTCTCTCATCTTCCAGCTTGATTGGGAGGTTTTTTGTTTTGTTTTTATCCTGTTGGCTGGCTGCTTCCTGTGTTTCCCTTTTCTTTTTCACATGCAACTCTGTAGTTACTTTTAGAAGTCTGGGTGTGTGCACCAGGAGTGGCCAGATGGCAAGGGAAGGTAGGACTGGCTTTCTGTCTGTGGGTCTTCTTGAAGAGACTTGATTCAGAAGATACTAAGATGAAGTTTTTGGTTATGAAGGACTACACCTGCAAAATGAGTCAGTAAACTCAGCCCAGTAGAAATGTTGAGCCACAAATCCAAAGACCAGAATTTTAAATTCACTGAAATAGACTAGTGTAGGACCTGTTGCTCTGAATCCCCCCTTTATCAAATGTGATGTGCAGGAGTTGACGGGGCCCTCAGAGTCCCTTACTCCAGGCCCTGTAATATTCGACTTTAGAACCCTGGTGACCCAATGGCGATTCAAACCCACCCGTCAATTAATGAAAAGCAGTTCTTACAGGTGACTTCTGCGTTTAGTTATCGTCTAGCCAAATGTCCCATGGAAGCAAGAACACTGGGACTAAATAATTAGGGAAAGGCAGGTCCAAAGAAAGTACTTCATGAAGGAGGGATCCTGTTATTGCTGCCTCCCTCTGCTTCTAGAAAGCATTGCAAATGAGAATGGGGTAAGACTCCAGTTCCCTTTTCCAAGACGCAGTTCATTGCTTAAGAACTTGGACTTCGGAGCCAAAAGACCTGGGTTTGGATCCTGGCTGCATGACGTTGTGACATTTACTTGGCCTCAGTTTCAGTACTGTCTATTTCAGAGATTTAATAACAACAAATCTCACTGGGTTGTTTTGAAGATTAATATATGTAAAGCACTTAGAACTGACTGCGATGGTGGTTATGTGCTGTGGTGTCAGTCCCGACTCATAGCAACCCTGTATATATAGGGCTTCCAAGGCTGTAAATCTTTATGGGAGCAGAAAGCCTCATCTTTATCCCATGAAACAGCTGGTAGTTTCAAACTACTGACCTTGAGGTTAGCAGCCCAACTTGTAACCACTATAAGGAAGTAGAGTAATATTCTGTTTCTGTGAAGGTGATTGAGTTTCACACAGTTTCAAACATTTCCAGAAATGTCAACATCATCATGTTGAGTCTTAGGAAAAACAGGATCTGAACAATTGTCTCAGCTCCTCTCAGGTCTTTGAACAGATTTGAATTTGTGTGTGTGTGTCTGTGTGTGTGTGCTGTTGTACTTCCTATTTCCTCGTATCAGGAGCACATGAGGAGATTGACCAATCAGTGGGTTCAAGTGGTGTCAGCCTCATTCATCCCTCTGTTAATAAAGTTCCCTATTAGCTTATCACCTCATGGTTTTTAGTTGACGTTTTCCTCATTTGCCTTAATCTTTAGACATTTGCTATTCAGTTGTGTGACTAAGAACAGTGGTTTTTACATGATGCCCAGGACCCCATCACTGGCAGGATCTGGCTTAAATAGACCTTGCCATCTGAATTGCCTAGGGAAGGCCCCTGCTCCAGTCCAGGACCTGATGTTTGGGGTCTTACATCCTCATTTCTCTTGGCGTCATTTTACAAGTGAGGAGGGTGAGGCTCAGGGAGATTAAGTGACTTGGCTGGCTGGTATTGGGGTGTGGGAGGGGACAGGGAAGGACCCAGGACTCAGACCTCAGGTTACTTCCTTTTCCCATTCTCTTGTTTGTTTTCCTTCCCTCTGATGCTTCCTCTGTCCCTCAGTCTTCTCCACCTGCCCTTTCTAATAAGTATGTCTTAGCAGTCAAACCTACCAGCCGCTCCCTAGGAGAAAAGGTCTAATTTTGGAAAGATAACAGCCTTGGAAACACTATCGGTCAGTTCTACTCTGTCCAATAGGTGGTTTTCTCCACAGCCGTGATCACATGATCCAAAATGTTGATAACATTGTACCCAAAGATATTTGTGGAAGCTTAATTTCTACTAGCAAAAAGAAGGAAAACGAAAAGAATCCTAGGTGCTCAGTAGGAAGAAAATGGCTATAAAATGTAAAAAAAAAAAAAAAAAAAAAAATTAAGATGCTTACGAAAGTACAACAATGTTTGTTATTGTTCAATGGACAAAGCCACTGTAGACATATAAATCTATGTCTACAGAATCAGAATGATGTAGGAAAATGCATAGAGTGTTGGGAATGAAAATTTTCAAAATGGTACAGTGGTTGCCTCTGCCTGATAATGTACATTTTTTTCTGGCTTCTTTATGCTGTCCTATATTTTATAAATTTCCTACAATGAGTAGGTAGGACTCATAATCAGGATAAAGAAAGACAGCAAAAGAAAATCAGTAGCTGTCAGGTGAAGATGGTGCTCATTCCAGAGGCTCAGAAGGTACCAGTGGGTGGCAAACTGACTTTTCAGGGTGTCAGACCTATACACACTCTCCTCTGCCCCACAGGCCTCACGAGGAAGAGCTGAGGATGAAGAGCATGGATAATAGCTCTGCTGTGGGTAAGCAATTGGCAAGCTGTGGAAGTTTTAGCTCATATTTAATATTTCTGTCTTCTCTTTTTCTTTCTATAAAAAATTAAGAGACACCTTCTGTCTTTGACTGTCACAGAAGGTATCAAAGGCAGTACTGGCAAGTGGCTCTAATAGCAGATTGTCTTCACTGAATTAGGTTGCTTGTTTGTCTGCCTTGCCCCGCTGCTACCCTTCTCTTTTCTCCAGCAGAGTATCCTGATGTCCAGGAGTCAGTGGGTCCCCTGGTGGCCCCCACCCCTCTCCGTCCATGGCCCCAAATGACACTTCAGGTAAGCAGGCCCTTGCAGTCTCTGTGGGACAACTCAATAGGAGGTTCTCATTATACGGCCATACCTGGGTGGCTGGGTGGTGGGGGCTGGCTCACCCTAGGTTGGTGGGAGGTCACAAAAATAAGAACCTGCATGGGTGTGGGGTAGAATGCAGTTATTTACCAGGGCGAACATAAGTTTCATTCATTAATTCAGCAAATATTTACTCTGTGTTTGCTCTGTGCCATACACTGTCATGGAAACTAGAAATACAATAGTGAATAAAATGGGACTTAACATTTTAGTGAAGTGAGGCGTAATAAATGAAATAATGGTTAAAATATTATGATCTTTAAGATGATGATGAGTGCTAAGAAAAATAAATCAAGGAAAGGGGATTGGGAGTGTGTGGGAGTGGGTAAGTGTGTGCTGGTGGTGGTACAACTTTAGGTAAGGTGGTCAGGAAAGGCTTTGAGGAAAGATCTGAACAAGGTGAGAGAGTGAATGAGCCATATGGGAAAGTAGGGGAAGAACATGTGAGGCATGTGCAAAAGCCCTGAGCTAGAGCCCTGACTATTATTGTGTGTGAGGAACAATGACAAGGCTAGTGTGCATGGAGCAGAGTGAGTAGGGGGAAAGTGATGATAAGAGGTGGGGTCAGAGAGATGAACAGGGAACAGATCCTTTAGGGCTTTGTGGACCATGCTATGAATTTTTACTTTGAGTATGTGGGCGGGCGAGTTGTGAACAGAAGGACATGATTTGACTTAGTATTTCCAGGATCCCTCTGGGTAGAAATGGGAGACAAGTGAGGAAGTAGTTACTATAGCAGTCTAGGCAAGTGATGATGGTGGTGGCGGGGAGGGAGGGAGAGAGAAGTAGTCAGACTGCACCCATAGTGGAATGTTAATGTTAATTTTTTATTATAACTACATATAATTATAATAAAAATGATAATATAATTTAATATAATTATAATAAAATTATATATTTTTTAATTACAAAAAATCCAAACATATATAAAGGAAGAGCAAATATAAGGGGACTTCAAAAAGTTTTTGGAAAAAGTCTGTTGTCCTTTTTTTCCTGAACTTTTTATTGTGAAGTGGGTGGAGATTTACAGAGCAGATCGGCTTTCCATCCAAAGATAACAGACATTTGCTTCGTGTCTTGGTTTCCATTATAATTCAATTCCACTAACTTTTTGAAGCCCCATTGTAGCTTAATGAACCAATATATACCAGTTACCCAGCTTCAATAATTATCAACAACTATGTCCAATCCTACTTTATCTATATCCTGACCTACTCCCTTCCCATTTCATATGGAATTACTTTGAAATAAATTCAGAGATTGTTTCATTCATAAATACTTTAGTTTGTATCTCTAAAAATTGAGAACTCATTGGAAAATTTAGTGATAATGCCATCATCACAACTCAGAAAATTAACACATACTGGTCTGTGTTCAAAGTTCCTTGATATCTCATAAGTGTTTTAGGATCCAAACAAACAATGTCTACACATTACATTTGGTTACTGTGTGTCTCTTTTGATTTAAAAAATCTGTTCGTTTATCTCTACCCCACTTACTTTTCTTACAATATATTTTTTTTGAAGAAAACTTGTTATTTGTCCTGTTGAATTTTCACAGTTTGGATTTGATTGATTATATCCATGTGGAAACATGTTTATTATATTTTTCTATCTACTGTATTTATTATAAACTGGTAGCTAGCTCCAAAAGATTGATAGATTTGAATTTTATATATGTGAGTTTGTGTGCTGTATACTTCCTATTTCATCATATCAGGAGCACATGATGAGGTTGATCAATCAGTGGGTTCAAGTGGTGTTAGTCGAATTCATCCCTCTGTTATAAAGTTCCCAATTAGCGTATCATTTAATGGTTTTAGCTACCATTAATTATTATTTCCTTGGCCCATTCTCTCATTAAAAGTTATAAATTGGTAATATTTTAATTCTACTATTATCTCCATTTATTAACTGGAATTCTTCTCTGAAGAAAAACTTCTCCACATCAACTATGGGGCTACCTTGAATTATAGTTTGTATAGGAAAAACAATACAAAGACTTCATTTTCCTCTCTTGTTTACCAGTTTCCAGAATAAATAAACTCCTCCAAAGGTGACCACTTAGAAGATTTTTGTTTTATGTATGTCGTTATTAACACATGGGTTTTAAACATAGTTGATGAGTTTCAATTAATTGCATTTTTAAAATTATTTTTGATGCTTGAACTGAACCATCTTTGGCCAGTGAGAGCATATTTAGATTGACTCTTGAGTCCTTTTGATATGTCCCCGATCACTCATTGAGTACTTCCTCATCTTCTGGTATGACAAGATATCCCACACTCATCTTGTATTTCTGCTGCCCCAAACCTGGAAACACAGCTATATTTTTAAGGAGCCCTGGTTCCTTTTAGGGGAAAATGATAGTTAGAAACCAAGATCTGGGTGCCAGGTGCCTGTTGATACTAGATTGGGCATTTTTAAGAAGCCTTTTCAAAAGGCAGACCAAGGGAATAGTTGTTTGTTTTAATAAAAGAAGAAAATATGTCATGAATTAATAAAGATATTCTGGATTTATGTTGAAGGTGTAGTTGCAGTAGTTACTGATGGAGTCATTTACCAGATAGGGATGCCTACTGAATTCTTCAATTTTATCATCTGCAGGAAGCTGTTGGCTCCTTTGTTGTTGTTGTTGTTGTTAAGTACCATCCACAAGTGCTATGAGTTCCGACTCATAGTGACCCTGTTTCCAAGGAGTGCCAACTTTTCAGTGCCACACCATTACCATGCAGTGACACACCAGTGCCTACTTTGTTGTTGTTAAGTGTTGTCAAGTCATTTCCAACTCAGAGCGACCCTGTATAGGGTTTCTGAGGAGCAGCTAGTGGGTTTGAACTGCCAACCTTGTGGTTCACAGTCCAGTGCTGATCCTACAGCACCACAGTAGGAGTCCTTGGATCCTTTCCTCCACCTCATTTTATTGTATTAATATAGATGACACTGTCTTTGGAATTTAGAGAATTACAGAGGCTCTTTGAGGAGTTTTTGTCTAGAAATTCCTGAAGGGCTGGGTGTGGACTGTCACCATTCTCACTGTCTCTGCTTATCCCATTTCCTCCTCTACTTCATTCCCTTCCCTCTTCCTCCCCTCCTTCTCTCCATCCCCATGGCTGTAGGTTTCTGAAGTTAAAGTGACTGGCAACTCCCTAGAGGAAGGTGACGTCCCCAGAAGCAGTCCATTTGTGGCTTTCACAGAGGTCCCTCAGGCACCGGTCATCAGGATTCCCGCCTCCTCCGTACTCTGTGGCCTAGGTGGCTCTCCCAGGGACCAGGCCTCGGGACCTGATGCAAGTGAGGGGGCATCTGGTTCTTTCCTGGAACCCAACGAGCAGCAGCTGGAGGCCACATGGGAAGTATCCAGTGAGAATGGGGGATGCCGAAAGGCCTCCATGGTAGGGGCTATTGTGGAGGAGCCTCCTGGGGGTCTGGAGGTCATGAGTGGGCTGGAGGAGCTGCTTGGCGAGGACACCATTGACCAGGAGCTGGAGCAGCTCTATCTGTCCCACCTGAGCCGCCTGAGGGCCACGGTGGCTGCAGGTGGAGTGGGGGGTGGGGGGGAAGGCCCCACAGATGGGGGTGCATTCCCCAGCCATCCCTTGGGTGTATTAACGGACCGCGACCTAATCTTGAAGTGGCCTGGCCCTGAGAGGGCCCTGAACAGTGCCCTGGCTGAGGAGATCACGCTGCACTATGCCCGGCTGGGACGTGGTGTAGAGCTCATCAGGGATACAGAAGACCCTGATGAGGAGGGAGAGGGCGAAGAGGGGTTCTCTGTTACACCCTCTAGCCCAGAAGAGGACACTCCCAAGGAATCACTTCCGGAAATCCTCTCTGGGGCCCATTCTATGGTAGCCAGTATGGGAGATGTGTGGCTCCCATGGGGAGAGGGTCCAGGATGTGACAGCTCTGTGGGTCTGGGTATAGAGGGCCAGCTCACTGGGGATCCAGGTAAGGGGATGGGCAAGGACACTGACTCGTTGCACATTAATAGGGTGACCACCTTCCCAGGGGAGGCCATGGCAGAAACCCTGATGGAGCTCACCACTGAGTGGACAGACAGCTTGGTTCCTATATCTGGCAAGGAGCCAGCCACTCCAGCCCCTAGGCAGGGACAAGAACCGTTAGGGGCTGAAGCCTGTTCTTCTAGCCTGGCCAGGCTCCGTATGCACTCCCAAGGTGAAAAGGGCTCAGGCCCAAGTCTTGAGCCCCAACAGAAGTCTCATGTCCTAGCAGACCCTACGGAATGTGTGTGTGGATTGCCACCCCAGCTACGGGGACCCTTGGCCCAGACTTTGGGGGTCCTGGCTGGGCTGGTGGTGGTTCCTGTGGCTCTGAATAGTGGTGTGTCCATTCTGGTGCTTGTGCTGTGCCTCTCTCTGGCCTGGTTCTCATAGGGGCTGCCTGTGGAATTGACAATAACAGGCTTCCCCCTCACTGAGGCCCTGGAGAGTACAGGAACTGCACCATACCCAGAAGGATGAAATAGGATATTTGGCCGGTGCAGTGAGTGGATGCTTTGCTTCTGATAGAGGCCTTCCTGTCCTTGAATTCCCTAGTCAACATAGGGCTCCCCGTGGAGAGGGACAGGGGACAGGCCAATGGTATGAATAAGAAAGAGTTTCAGAATGGAACTGGGCATGCCCCCCTCCCCCACCTTTCCCCAAGCCTGTATTTATTTTTGTATAATTCTCTGGATGAGGAAGAGTGGTCATGAGCTGGTCTTGGGCACAATTACCCAGAGATATATTTATTAACAACCACCATGTGCAACCTGCTGGAGCTTTATTTTTAATTTAATTTATATAGAGTACCTATTATTATATGCCACAATAGAGCTCTATGAGAAATGATGTGTCTTCCTGTGCAGTGTTCTGCTGTTTGGGCATGAGGGTGGACACTTTCTGTGGGCAGATCATGTTGGGGATTGGGGGTGGGATATATCCATGCTTGCTGCTGCTTCAATATATCCTTGAGGATCTGTCACCTCCTTTCATAGTTCTATAATCCATATAGTCTTTGGGAGGCAAGTCCTTTGTCTTTTACATTCTGCCTGTGGAAGTCTATACATGTGTATATGGATGGTGATGGGGGCAGCCAGAGAGGGAGGAAGAGTGGTGGCCATGTGAGAGCTTGGTGTGATTCATATGGCTGCAGTGGTGGATGTGGTTAGCTGTCAATGTGGGGACATCAGTTGTAAATCAGCCACAAGATTTTGAGGTTACTGCAAAAAACAAAACAAAACCTTTCACACCAGTCAGGAGCTCCTGCTGCCACCAAGACAAGGAAGGTCTCAAAAGGACAGAGTAGTTAATGTATTGTGAGAAATTCATACTGACGTTGCTGTCCACAGATGTTACATTTCTACTCAAAACAGGAAATCTAGAAGCTTTGAAAGATAGGCTAGCCATATTTATCTGCATGTACATAGTAAAATAAAGCATATTTGCTTCCCTTTAAGCAAAACTTTTTGAAAGAAATATTTATACCAGCTTTCTTCAGTTTTTCTCCTCCAATGTTTTTCTGAAAACATCCCCAGTCATATTTTTGCCCAACAATTTCAGCCAAGCTGCTGAAGTCACTCATGATTTCCACATTGTTATGTAGTCAAGTCTCAGACCTCATCTGATGATAGCTCTTCAGCAACAATTGACATAGCTGATCATCTGTCTTGAAACGGTTTCTTCACTTGCCTTCTGGGACACTAAACTCTCCTGCTTTTTCTCCTCCTCACTGGCTACTCTTCCAGAACAGTGCCTAGCACATAATACGTAAAACAAATGAACAAACAAATGTATGTATGCAGGTAAATATAGAGAGATGTGGCTAGAGGACTTAGTTGGTCATTTAGTAGTTACTAGCTCAGTTCAGTTACACAACTATTGACTGGTCACTTCTCTGGGAACCTAGAGGAAAGAGTTCACAGTCTAACTGGGGAGACAGGCACAGAAACAGAATTTCAGTACAGTGTGGCCAGTGCATTAACAGTGACAGGTCCAGTGGGCTGTGGGAGTCCCAGGACAGATGCTCAGCCCAGCTCAGGGACTCTGGAAGCCTTGGAGGAGGAGAAATCTGAACTGAGTTTTTACAAAAGAAAGAATCTACCAGGTGATGAAGGGGAAGAAAGGGCAGTCTCATTAGAAGGAATAGTATTTTTAGAGTCTTGAGATGGGAAACAAGTGAAAACAAGTTCACCACACCTATTTTTCACCTGTCTTTCAATGAAGAGTTTCTGAGAGACTGTCCAGTACCTAAGTCCAGTTGTGTCTGTGAGCTTCCACTTATAATTTGATCATTGTCCCAAATGACAACTTTATGCTAATGGATTGAAAGATTAGATAAAGTTGAGAATTTCAATTTTATAACTATGTAACATACCAAAATATAACCTACTAGTAGTCTTAAAAAGAAATAGAAAACTTAAGCAGTTCTGTAACCATTGAAGTAACAGAACCTGTAACCAGAAATCTTTCCATATAGAAACTCTGGACTCCGATGGCTTTGCTGGTGAAAGACTCAAGGGACAAACAATTCCAATTTTACAAAAGCAACGTCAGAATGTAGAAAAAGCAATCCGAGCTCATTTTAAGTATGCCATGGCTCCATATGATAGGCATTGGACTGCAAACCACAAGGTCCACGGTTTGAGCCCGACAGCCACTACGTGGGAGAAAGAAAGATGAGGCTTTCTGTTCCTGCAAAGATTTTTAAAAAACGCCTCGTAAGCCCTATACAGGGTCGCTATGAGTCAGAACCTACTTAACAACTCTTTAAAGTCCTGATGTGGCACCACAGGATAAGCACTAGACCTAAAGGTTGATTTGAACTTGGTTGGTAGTTCAAACTCACCAGTCACTTCTTGGAAACCCTATACAGGGTTGTTATGAGTTGAAACAGACTCGTTGATACTTAACAACAACAAAACCTGGTAAGCCAAGAACAATCTCAAGAACACATATGCAAATATTCCAAACCAAATGATAGTAGTCTTAGTCAAATATATTTTTAAAGTATTGTATGACCAATTGCATTTATCCCAAGAATGCAGTATGGTTTAACATTTATTTGAACACAATCAACATAGTTCATATTCATTAGTAGATTTTAAAATATTTTTTGCTGTTGAGAATATTATATAGCAGAACATACACCAATGCAACACTTTCTACATGTAGCATTCAGTGACGTTGATAATATTTTTTGAATTGTGCAGCCATCCTCATTCTCCATTTCTGAGTTGATCTTTCTCTATTAATATAAATTCACTGCCCCTTAAGGTTTCTATCTAATCTTTTGATTGCTGTTGTCACTTTGATCCCTATTACATAGTTATTTTTCTTTTAATGTTTTATTGTGAATTATGTTATAGTTTACATGGGAGAACATTAGCTTTACTTTCATCCTATCGTATATTGTTTCATTGCCATGGTTACAGTCCCCTACATGCATCATCAACCAACCAAAGGGTACCCTGCAAGCCTGTCCCCCCGCCCCCCGCCCTTGGTCGTCAGCACACAGCTCCTCTCCCTCTCTGGGTCTAAAGTCCCCAGCCGTTCGATCTCTCTATGTCATCATCTCTGCCTCCATCTCTGGTGTCACTGTTTCTCTGGGTAGGGGCCCTGTACTCCGCTCTTCTCCCTTGATGGTCCCAGGGACCTCCGCTCCTGCACTGGAAGTCAACCACTCCCCTCCTTTTGCTACAAAACGTCTACCTTTACATTTCCAACCCTCACAATCAGTCCTGATAGCAATTATTCACTATTGTACCACAATAGACCTATCCTCATCTCATCAACCCTCGCCCAGACAGATTGGATACTACTCAGTGGAGATTCTACCTTCCTCCTTGCCCTCTGGATCTAGGCTCCCTCTTGAAACCTTGTAAGCCAGTCACTTCTTGCCTTTGTAGCCCCTCATTTTGGGTAACCAATGTCCAAGTTGCCCATCCCTGTCTACTCTATGTTTGGAGGGAGGGGGAAATGATCCTCGATGTAAAGATTTGTTCCCTCTTTTGAGCTACTGCATCCATCAAATTGTATCAGATTACTTTTTTTCCTCTTCTTTCTTCTTCTAGTTGAGCTCTGATCATCCAGTCTTTGAAGACAGGTCAAGTGGGTATTATCTGCAAGTGTGGGTGCAGATGCCCTCTCTTCTTATCAGCTGGACACTTCACTCTCCACTCTAGTCCTCTGTGGCTATGTCACTGACTCTAGGCCCAAGAGTCCCCAGGTCTTGCCACACTGCTGGCCAACCAGGTCTCCACCTGGGTTCACAGGAGTCTATTAAATGTTGTAGGGCTTAGCTCGCCACTTCATTGCTGTTTTTCCCTTACTTCCTCTTATAGGTGATGAACGTGGTCACCAATCAGAGCAATCCCTATTACATACATAAGTTCTTAAGGAGCTCTGGTAGCATAGTTGCTTACAAGTCGGGCTGCTAACCTCAAGGTCAGCAGTTTGAAACTACCAGCGGTTCTGCAGGAGAAAGATGAGGCTTTCTGCTCCTGTAAAGATTTACAGCCTCGGAAACCCTATACAGGCTCACTATGAGTCAGAACCGACTCCACGACACACTACAACCACATAGTTCTTAAAATAATACAGTGTGCTTTACTAGCCAAATGAAACTTGCTTGGTTTTAGGAAGACATCAAGGGATATTTTTGGTTTAAGGTTTAAAGATGTCATTCCTAGAAAATTAGTTAAATAAACTTTCTTCACATAAAGAATACCTATAAAGATTTATGCTCTCGTGACATAGTGGTTACAAATCAGGCTGCGAACCGCAAGGTCAGCAGTTCGAAACTACCAGCTGTTCCGTGGGAGAAAGATGAGGCATTCTGCTCCCGTAAAGATTTACAGCCTTGGAAACCCTATACAGGGTCACTATGAGTAGGAACCGACTCCACAGCATACGGGAAACAGGATGCCTGCTATCATCCTTTCAACTCAGCATTGCACTGGTGGTCCTAGCCAGAACCAAATTGTCATTATTGTATAGAAAATACAAGACAATTCATGGATACGTTATTGGAATGATAAAGAATTTAGAAACATTTCTGTATAAAACCTATATTTATAAATCTATTGCTGTTATATGCTAGCAAACAAAAATGTAACAAAAATACCATTTGTGAGCTAAGACATAAAGTCTAACAAGAGCTAGATCTTTTTGAAAAGAAAAAACCACATTGAAAGATTTAAAAAATAAGATCTAAATAGATATATGATGTCCATTACATGGGAGAGACAATATAAAGCTATCAGCTCTCTAGACTGTTTTGTAGGTTTCATGAAAATTCAGTCATGATTTCAATAGATTTTGAGTGCTTGGATCATGACAAGTTCATTCTTAAATTTTTGTGCATGTGATGTGACTAGCTGGGGACACCCATACTT